TTTATATCTCACATGGTTCATTTATTATACATGGTAGTATTTTGGTAATTGGAGCCTTTATTACCTGTTTTAGGTTGGTGATATGGGATCTCTGCTGCTCACTTTGTATATCTTTTTTATCACTTTTTCATCACTTTTGTCTATTTTAGCTCACTTTCACATGTATGGCACTTTGAATATTACTGTCATTTTGACATTTGGGCATTGATCCTCATATCCCCATGGTAATTTCTACTGAGTGGGGAGATCTTCCTGTTTATTTTGTTTTTAATTCACACTTTTGTATATGAGGTGTAAGTAGTAGTTCCATTTGTAACTGGACACCTATAATGTTATTCAACTTTACACTTTCTTTTTATGTATAACACTGTGTTCACGCTGTCTTTAAGCATGTATTCACTGCACTGTTTACAGTTTACATTACTTAGCAACCACGTTTTAAGTTCTGATGCATGCCGGGGAAACCACGTGTTTCACTATGACACTTCCGGGTTTGAACGATTTGCCGCACACGCGGGATTGGTGAGTAAATCAATCCTTAAATGTATTTAAAGTTTGTTTTTCTATCAGTCATTTGATCTTGAAGAAGACCCTTAGGGGCCGAAACGTCGATCAGGATAATTTGCACAATGTTGTAAATTCTGCCACAATAAATACACTTCACTGAAGACCTTTTTGAGTGCTCCATTCATCGATTTTTTTATATACTGGACGTTGGTAGCACCAAAGGCAGTCCTATTTTGAATACTGCAGGGTTGAGTGCCAAAGGTATCTTTCTCTCTCTCTCTCTCTCTCTCTCTCTCTCTATATATATATATGTATTAAGGCAATTTGCCTGCATTTGTGGGAGGTGCTGGTTTGCTACCCCTAGCCTACTTAAGGCACTCCCCTTACCTTGCTCCTTACCGTTCGAGGTCAGCGTTGAATGAGGATCCACTTCCGGGTTCTCTCAGACGCCATCTTGGTTTCAGTATCCACGAGGTTTTCACCACGTTAGCTGTGTCCAGGAATCCTGTTCAGGCCTTCCGCCCGTCCAGCTTCTTCTGACTCCGGTCTCCGTCGTAGATCGCGTCCCAGGGACTCCTAAACCGTAAGTCAGACCTTCCTGTCACGCCAGGACCGGTTCCCACGGCGTACGGTACAGCACGGGTCCTCGCTTTACGGCTTTTTCCCTGGTTATGACACGAATGTTTCAAGCCATTCGCTGGCTTTTTCATTCGTACGGTCATTCGGCTGAACATAGTTAATCGTTCAATAGTCATTTCGCATATCCTATTTCATGTAATATTGAAACGAATTATCATTCGGTTGTTTTGCCGTTCGGCAAATTTTCACTTACGCTCAAACACGCTTTCGGTTCGCATAAGTCATACGGTTAAACTGTTCTTCTGTAAATTTCTGTGTTTCCCTCACATTTGCTTTCGGCTTTTCTGTGTGTTCACATATAATCCTTTCATGAATTATATTCACCATTTCATGTGTACATAACGTTCGGATAAGAATTGCTTGTTTAAATAGATTATTTTGATTACTTTTAAATATTGTCAGTATTGTATTACGTCCACAAATCAAGTCCACTTCTCTGTATATACCATTTGACTCCCACGCTTTCAGGGGTCTGCATTACTTATCCATTTATACAAATGGACTCAGCCTATGTTACAAGCCTCACTTCTGGGTTATTACTACAACACATACAAAGGATATAGGTTCATTTAAGCAATAATTCTCGGGTTGATACGTCTTTTCTATACAAATATATCATATAGATATACATCACTTTACATCATTTTAAATCATTTTGGGGTATCCCTGCCTTTGGTTATTCGGCTACATATCATACATAACGCTGTGTGTTAATTAGGCCATGACCTCATCCATGTCCCTTTCTATAAAACCAGTTACATTTCTGTACAGATAATTGAACTCCCACGCCAGGAGTTTTATAACTATCCATTTCATTTCAATTCACTCAGCCTATATTACAGGCCTCATTTCTCTGTCATGACGATGACACATAAGGCTTAAATCCTTTTCATGCATACTCGGGTTGAATCACACGTACTGATCCAACCAATCATACGTTCCCTGCACAGTCATATACATATGTATATAACCTACATTTCATGTTTTCCTTTACACACCATTATCACGTAACACATAGATTGTTTGTACATAGGCCACGGCCTCCCTCAGATGTCTTATTCAAGCATGCAAACATTTCTGAGCCACTCATAGCTATTCCCATGGTATCAACATAATTTTTATACATTGCTGCTACAGACTATAAGTCTGTTTCTTTTCACACTCCACACTCATCATACTACTCTCTTTTACCCATTTTTAGGCTGTCAAGCTTATATAATTGCTCCACACGGTTTATTCCTGTGATTTGTCATACTACCAGGTACGTACACCTGCTCATATGGTATTCTACCATACATTTCATCCCCCTAGTTTAGAGTACTGGCAATAGGGTCACAGGATTCCCAATAGGTATTTACCCCGTCTTGGCTGTCGCCATCAGTTAGTGGTCCCGCGAGGCCAAAACCCCGCCTCAAACGTTCCAGAGGCAAACACCCATCAGGCCACACGTTAGCTAGCCGCCTCGCATGTTGCAAAGAGAGGGCCTCACCTGTCACTCCCTTCCCCTGTTTTCTGTTGTACAGTCACCGAGAGGCCTAAAACTCCTGCCACTACGTCAAGTGGCCTCAATAACCCCTCGCGCCAACGCATAGATAGAGCCTCTCAAGCCACTTGGCAATTATCAGGGCCTCACCTGTCACCAAACAAGTATAATATTTTCGCCATCCGGCCTAGCTAGCCTGCCAGTACAATTTGGTGGTTCTATATACTAATTATTGTTTTATTTATAGTATGTCTCAGGAAGGGGTAGAGGATTTCTCCCTGCCTAGCACCCCGGCTAGAGCTGTCACTCCCACACAAGGAGGAGAGCTAGCTAGTCCAGCATCAATTAGATCCTGGACAATCCCGCGCATAACCACGGAATTAAGGAGACAACAAATCCCCTACCCCGCTACAGCAAGGAAGGCAGAACTTTTCAAACTGCTACGCACATCAACTAATAACATGGAAGCCGGGGAAGGATCTAGCCAGTCCAACCCAGGGGACATACATGTCATGTTATCCTCACTCATGGCATCCATGGGCAAGGTCAACTCCAGGCTGGAGAAACTTGAGTCGGTCACCACGGCCCTCACTCTAGCAGGGCCACCCGCGGCTGCGGTACAAACACCAGCCTTGCCATGGATGACCAGGAAGTTAGCCCGGCCCACATGATACCTGAGCATATCAAAAGGGATATCCTGGAAGGTAAAGACGTCAACCTGGCTTCCCTGTTGATTGCCTCCCAGGACATTGTGGAACATAAGACGTATGCTTATGATGATGTTTCTGTTATTGTCAGATCTAGGGATGCCCGCCTGAACAGGAAACTGACTATCCCTGAATTTGTACTAGCGTTTGGTATTTACAGGGATGTCATCTGTGTGGTTTATCCCAACAGAATAGAGGAGTTTGATCTCTATATGCACAAGCTGGTAGACCTGGGCAACAAATATGGTGGTTCAGCATTCTATGACTACCATAGGTCTTTTTCTGCAAAAGTGGCTGGAGCCTTCTCCCAGTACGGTACACGATCCAACTGGGGAAGGATTGATACCGTCTTATTTTGCAGACACTTTGCAGGTCTAAGAACACCAGCTTGTGCATACTGCTCCTCCACAGCCCATACTACTAATTTTTGTCCCAACACGGCAGACGGACATGCCTCCACACAAGGAACTAGTTCCTCTGGGGATCCAGGGAAACTATCCAAAGACAAATTGGGACGCCCAATCAAGTTTCTGGGCAAGTCCCAAATATGTAATAATTTCAATGTTGGGTCTTGTAATTACAGTGGATGTAGACTATTGCATGTCTGTTCAAAATGTTTTAGGGCACATGCAAAGACCATGTGTCCAAATAAAATGTATTCCAAGCCTTACCTTACATCCATTAATATGCCAGTATTCACAACATTGATGTCTCAGCACCCATCTAGACACCTGGTAGACTTTCTTATTTCTGGTTTAACATACCAGCTGGAACTCTGGAATGCCCTAATCTACAATCCGCCCAACACAACCCCACAGTGGTTGACACCCTCATAGCCCAAGAAGTGGATGAGGGCTTTGTATTGGGGCCTTTTAGAACTCCTCCATTCACAGAATGGCGCACCAACCCTATTGGTATTGTCACAGGGAAATCTTCCCAAAAACAAAGACTCATCATTGACTTATCGGCTCCCCACTCATCGGCCAACCCCAGTCTTAATTCCCTCATACCCTCTGAGGAGGAGAGCTAGCTAGTCCAGGGTTGGAGCCTGGCTCAGTAAGACCGACATTACTAACGCCTTCAAATTACTCCCTATCCACCCCACACTGTGGCACCTGCATGGCATCAAGTGGTCCGGGAACTACTATTTTTTTCTCCCGGTTAACTTTTGGGTCCAAAAGTAGCCCAGCTATTTTCGACACATTTGCCGAAGCATTATGCTGGTTACTATTGAACATAGCCGGATGCCCTACGGTATTACATTACTTGGACGATTTCCTACTGGTCGAGGAGAATACTGCACCTCCCACTAGCCTCAAAGCTACCACTAAGCTGTTTGAGCAACTAGGGGTACCCATCTCCCCAAAGAAAACAGAAGGGCCAGACACGGTTATCACTTTTCTGGGTATCCAATTAGACTCTGCCACAATGCAAGCAAGCCTACCATACGATAAGATAGAGAATATTCTCACTTACATAAACAACTACCTACAGCTCGGCACTTGCAACCACAAAGAGCTACAGTCCCTGCTAGGGTCACTAAATTTTGCGATGTGCATCATACCTCAAGGCCGCTCCTTTATTTCACGACTATTGCATCTTTTCCCACTTTTTCTACATGACACGCACAGGTTGTCCTTAGATGCCCAAGCTACGGCAGATCTAAACATGTGGAAGAGATTTTTAACCACTTGGAATGGTAAAAGTATGTTCCTCCCTCAATTGACTGAATCATCTCCTACCATTTGGTCAGATGCGGCATCTACCACTGGTTTTGCAGCAATTTTGGGAACGAATGGCTTTGGGGCAGCTGGCCTTCAGCAGTTCTGGATTTGGAAGGTTTTTCCACTACCTCAGCTCTTTTTGAGATCTACCCCATAGTGGCGGCTGCCGTAGCGTGGGGTCATTTATGGGCTAATACGCCAGTGCGTTGTTACTCAGACAACCAGGCAACCTGTCACATCATCAACAAAGGTCGTTCCAAATCTCTTACGATCATGAGATTTCTGAGGAAACTCACTTGGTTGGCAGCTTGTCATAATTTCTTCCTATGTTGTTTCCATGTGCCAGGTGTATATAACACAGCTGCTGACAATTTGTCTCGCTTTAAATTTCAGGAGTTTCATCAAGCACTCCCGTCAGCAGCACCCACAGCCACCATCACTCCAACATTTCAACAACTCATACTGGACTAGACGTCATCATGCAGCATAGCAGGACATTGTCCCAGTTGGCACTTTCAAACAATACAAACAAAACATACAGCAGGGCTTTCACACTATTCAAACGATTCCTTCTGGAACATAACATCATACAACCATTTGTTATGACATCTTTTTGGGGGTTTGCTTCCTTTTGCCACCTTAAACTCAAAATGTCATACAACACCATCAAACTCTATCTCACTGGCATTCAACACCACATGCTCATCTTACACCCAAATAACAGTTTCATGGCCTCTCACCAAATTAAGACCATACTCAGAGGTATTCAAAATCAGAACCCACACATTTGGCCCAGAGGCTACCCATAGATAACCATATCTTCAAAGGATTATCTAACCTACTCGACCTAAAACCGTTTGACACTAATACGAATTCTATCATCAAAACAGCAATATACATCGCTTTCTATGGATTTCTACGACCCAGAGAATTCACTACGACCTCCTCGACCCAAACCACTCCATTCCTCCTCTATTCCCACTTGACAAAACATATGGATCATTACATCCTGTCTTTACCTCACTCCAAAACCAGCCAGCACATACCTGTAAACATTCCGTACTATCCCACGCACAACAGATGGTGTCCCGTCAAGGTTCTTGATGCCTACATACAGCACCATCACTTACTGCCCTCGCATCCGTTATTACAACTACAAGGTGCAGTACTCACCACTACAACCTTCATGACCTACGTCAGGTCCTTGCTCACACAACTGGGCCTCAACGCAAACAAATACTCAGGACACTCCTTTCGTATAGGAGTCGCGTCCACAGCCTCCAGTGTCAACATCCCAACTTATGTTATCAAAACACTGGGGCGCTGGAAGTCATCCGCTTACTCATGGTACATACCGAACCCAGTACAAGAATTAAGGGATGCTTTCATAAACATGTCTGGTTGATAAAATGTATATGTATTGGTTGTCTGTTAATAAATTTGATTACTTAATTTTTGCCCTCTTCTTTCTCAGGCCTACCTCATCGTCAGTTTCGGCACACCACAACCGACTTGCTCCTTTTATCATCCTACGCTTATTCATGGTATTTCACACTGTACTATCTTAAGCACCTAACACAAGTATTAAGGCAATTTGCCTGTGTGACGAAGTGCCCTTCGCCACTTGTGCCTGGAGAGGACTGCTTACCCGCCTCTTGCCCTGTGACTATGGCCCCTGGGATGTATTGCCCTTTAAAGACATGATTTGGGCATAATGGATTTGTGTTGTGCTGCTGCTGGCCCTTTAAGAACCATCTGGGGACATACTGTGGAGTTACTGGGTGGCCACCATTTCCTGTATCAAAAGCACATGGTGAGAACAATGGATGGCGGCCATTTTAACTCACAGACACTGTTTGGACTTTTCAACACGGTGCCATCTTGCCAGTATTTGGTGCACAGAGACATCGTGCAGTGGTTTTGGACTATACAGCAGGGGACACATTATACAGTGATTGTTTTTATTTAGCCTGTATATGTTCTGCAGAATCTGCATTAAACTGTATTTTCCAAAGTACTGAACGGATCTGGGTGAATTTTGGATATGTGGTTCACCCAGATCCCCCGGTTCCAAGGATATACTTTTATGGGGTTATTGCATGTTTTGGGGTCCCTGTGTGTTTTATGAAACTGTATTATTTCTGGCCAGCAGATAATTGAGCTTTGTGTATTGTAGAAACTCAATAATCTAGCCTGGCCCAGAGGAGGAGTTTTGTGTTGCATAAATTGTGAGTTCTGTGTGCCAGTAAATCAGTCTTGTTCCAGCATTAAGCCTTGGCTCATGTTTGGGGGAAGGGATACCTACACCCTGGGGATTGCTATAATCACTTACTCCCCAGAGGAAGCTCTTGCAATAGCTTGATTTGTTCCTGTTCCTGCTCTCTGGGGAAAGAGAGGTTCACCCACTGGAAGCTGGATCCTGGCCTTGGGTCCAGGGTGGGTGG